GTGTTCACCCAGCAGTGTTCACCTAGCAGTGTTCACCTAGCATGTTCACCTAGCAGTGTTCACCTAGCAGTGTTCACCTAGCATGTTCACCTAGCAGTGTTCACCTAGCAGTGTTTTACCCAGCAGTGTTCACCTAGCAGTGTTCACCTAGCAGTGTTCACCTAGCAGTGTTCACCTAGCAGTGTTCACCTAGCAGTGTTCACCTAGCAGTGTTCACCTAGCAGTGTTCACCCAGCAGTGTTCACTTAGCAGTGTTCACCCAGCAGTGTTCACCCAGCATTGTTCACCTAGCAGTGTTCACCTAGCAGTGTTCACCTAGCATTGTTCACCTAGCATTGTTCATAGCATTGTTCACCTAGCAGTGTTCACCTAGCAGTGTTCACCTAGCAGTGTTCATCTAGCAGTGTTCACCTAGCAGTGTTCACCTAGCAGTGTTCACCCAGCAGTGTTCACCTAGCAGTGTTCACCTAGCAGTGACCATGTGAATCATCTAGTGGGGTTGAGGAATAATCTTGTTTGATCCCAGAAAAGGGAAAGGGTGCTCAAGTTCCTCGGATCAAGAGCCTTTCACCAGGAACACACCTGATGGGAGATAGGATAGAAGCATTCATACACACGATATACTGTTGGATATACTCTCAGACTTCCATTTTCACATATATACCTTCCTCAGCCTTTCACTCTGACATATATACCTTCCTCAGCCTTTCACTTTGCAATATATACATTCATCAGCCTTCCACTCTGCGATATATACCTTTCTTAGCCTTCCACTCTGTGATATATATACTCCTCAGCCTTCCATTCTGCCATATATACCTTCCTTAGCCTCCCACTCTGTCATATATACATTCATCGGTCTTCCATTCTGCCATATATACCTGCCTCAGCCATCCACCCTGCCATATATACCTGTCTCAGCCTTCCATGTGTTACCAAAGACTTTTTTCTTAACATAAGACTTTCATCGGTCTATTTTCTTGTATTGCTTCCCCGTGGTTGTCCTCTTCCACATCCTCTCTTCCATCTAGTTGGCCATTCCATCCTCCTTTCCACACACTTCTTCACACTCTGCATTCCCTCCTCTCTCTCTCTCTCTTTGTCCTTCTCTCCCGCTTCCTTTCCACACTGTGCATCATCTAGGACTTGTGTGTGTGTGTGTGTGTGTGTGTGTGTGTGTGTGTGTGTGTGTGTGTGTGTGTGTGTGTGTGTGTGTGTGTGTATGGTGTGTATGTGTGTGTGTGTGTTGTGTGTTGTATGGTGTGTATGTGTGTGTGTGTGTGTGTGTGTGTGTGTGTGTGTATGGTGTGTATGTGTGTGTGTGTGTGTGTGTGTGTGTGTTTTGTGTGTGTGTGTGTGTGTGTATGGTGTGTGTGTGTGTGTGTGTGTGTGTGTTGTGTGTGTGTGTGTGTGTGTGTGTGTGTGGTGTGTGTGTGTATGGTGTGTATGTTGTGTAGTGTGTGTGTGTGTGTGTGTGTGTGTGTGTGTGTGTGTGGTGTGTGTGTGTGTGTGTGTGTGTGTGTGTGTGTGTATGGTGTGTATGTGTGTGTGTGTGTGTGTGTGTGTGTGTGTGTGTGTGTGTGTGTGTGTGATACACACTAAACAAAAGATAAGAGTACACGTCAACAATGTTTTCTCCAGGCAGAAGGGAAAAAAACATGAATCCTAATTCTGAATAAGCAAACTGTTGTGGTATTTTGTAAATCAAGCAACACCTGAACCACACCTGTACGTTTTGTAAGTTAGCGACACCTGAACCACAACTGTACGTTTTGTAAGTTAGCAACACCTGAACCACACCTGTACGTTTTGTAAGTTAGCAACACCTGAACCACAACTGTACGTTTTGTAAGTTAGCAACACCTGAACCACAACTGTACGTTTTGTAAGTTAGCAACACCTGAACCACACCTGTACGTTTTGTAAGTTAGCGACACCTGAACCACACCTGTACGTTTTGTAAGTTAGCAACACCTGAACCACACCTGTACGTTTTGTAAGTTAGCAAGACATGAACCACATCTGTACTTACACATAGAGAGACTAAGAGTTGAGTCAAGGCTGGTATAGCATCACTCTTGATCCATGTATCGTGTCCTCCTGGAGCTGTCACAACTCTTCCTGTCTCTTCCTGGAGCTGTCATAACTCTTCCTGTCTCCTCCTGGAATGTCATAACTCTTCCTGTCTCCTCCTGGAATGTCATAACTCTTCCTGTCTCCTCCTGGAGCTGCCATAAGTCTTCTTCCTGTCTCCTCCTGGAGTTGTCATAACTCTTCCTGTCTCCTCCTGAAGCTGCCATAACTCTTCCTGTCACCTCCGCTCCCTAACATTTTCTTCATGTTTACCACTGACAATGTTTGTGTCAACATTTTCTCTCCCTTGTTTTCTTAAACACTGCAGATTACCAATTGTTAATGTTTATCGTCGCTCTTACACTTCATTATGGGTTGTCAGCCTCTTCCTTGTTGTGTTTTCTTGCTAATTCATAACTAAATATACAGTTACGCTGCTTTTTCTTGCATCTCTACCCTGCTATCATTTAAATAAGCATGAACAGTCATTAATTATGAGGGTATCCTGAGGCAGTGTTCAACTGTGATGTGTGTGTGTGTGTGTGTGTGTGTGTGTGTGTGTGTGTGTGTGTGTGTGTGTGTGTGTGTGTGTGTGTGTGTGTGTGTGTGTGTGTTGAACTCTGGTTCTCGGGGTCCTCCTCTCAACCTTCTTGTCACTGGTACAGTTCTTCCTCAACCTTTGTGCAACGGTGCATAAATTCTGCCTTTGCCTGTCTCCCTACAGTGTTGTTGTGATTGTGGGGGATGGTTGTTGTTGCTATTGTTGTGGCTGTTACTGTTGTTGTTATTGTATAATAAAGGCTGCTAGTGTCACCTGAGTGCTGCTACTACAGTAACACTGGTAATGTATCTCCAGCCTCTCTAACAGTTCATCTCTGTTTACCTGTCATGTGTGTTCCCTCTATTATCTCCACTATGTTATTCTACACTGTTTGTTCCCATGAACATCTTTGTCAATATCAGTCTCCAGTGATTCTCCTCTCTCTATTATTATTATTATTATTATTATTATTATTATTATTATTATTATTATTATTATTATTATTATTATTATTATTATTATTATTAGACTCTAACCTTTCCTTCAGTTATGTAAGAATTGTTATGTCTAGTTTTTTTTCTCTATGGCTCATTGTCTTGAGCTCCAACATTAATCTATTAGAAAATCTATCAACTTTTTAACGTTTATTTACATGTTTTAACTACGTAGGTGATGATACTGGCTCTTCAGACTTGAGTATTGGTCTTACCTACGCTTTATAGTCATGAATAATTCGTCATTCAACATTGCATATGTCACCAAATTTATCCGACTTTGTTTATAAGGTACAATAAGTTGTTTATGGCATTTTATTGAAAAGACGTTTCGCCCACTTGGCACTTGATCAGTTCTCACAGAGATGGGTGATGAGACGTGAGGTGTTATTCGAGAGTTGTCTGGTGTGTCTGGCTTCCTGTGTTTACCTTCAAGAAGTACACTGCTTGCACTCTGAAGGAAGGTTGGGGAAGCTGCGTTTCGGAGGATAATTTAAACGGTGATGCTAGCGCGCTTCTGGCAAGCTATTGCAAACACAGGTGTAGTCTAATGCCTGCACAGCTGGTTGTAGCACGATAATCAAGGTAGGACGAAGAACGAGCAAAAGACAGCCGAGAGTAAATACTTATGTATTTACCTTTGCCAGACAGCAAGTAATACTATGTACAATATTTACAGAGGATATATAATTAAGGCAATTTTGCAAGCAAGAGACACTGTATGAACCACCTTCGACCAGACTCGGAGGTAAGTCTGCCAAAGTGTACATTGCTTCACAAGTTTGCCGGGTTTGTGATTGGCTGATTGAACCAAGGTGCTATCATAACGAGGGGGCCCCTACTCATTATACTCTTAGCACCTGGTTCGCTGATCGGGAGGGCATGCCTATATGGGTGACATACGCTGAATAAAATGTAACGTACTCTTAACGTCCCACTCAAGACAGTGATTGAATGACAGTGACGTGTTTTTTCTTTGTTTCCCCTCGGTGGGAGACGGCTTGTGGCAGAAAAAAAATACACTTATCAATATGATATAACTCCAAATTCTGGATTATTTGCAAATTGTTTCAGCCCTGGGACTGCTGCTTTTATGTACTAATGTTTCAGTTTATTCCTGTTTTTCTTGTACACTTCTGCCATCTTATCCACCTCACTAACTGCCATCATATCCGCCTCATTAACTGCCATCGCATCCACTTCATTACTGCCATCGTATCCACCTCATTACTGCCATCGTATCCACCTCATACTGCCATTGTATCAGCGTCATTACTACCATCGCATCCACTTCATTAACTGGCATCGTATCCTCAATAACTGCCATGGTATCTCATTTACTACCATAGTATCCACCTCATTAACTTCCATCGTATGCATGTCATTAACTGCCATCAAATGCATGTCATTAACTTCGCAGGGTCTGGAAGATGACACAAAATACCATCACTGCTCAAAGTTCTCGCTGTAATAACGCTGCTTACGAGTTTGTTCCACTGTTCAACATCTATGTTGTCAAACCGGTACTTTCCTGTATCCTTTCCAAATTTAAATCTGTCGAACTTGAATCCTATGCTGAGTCTCTGGTTCCTGTTCTCTGTCTCGCACGGAGAATCACAATTTATACAATTTCGAAAGATATTATCGTACAGGCTTTTTTTGTGATCTATTTTATTCATTGAGCTTATGATGTATGGTTCATGCTTTGTGTTACGCTCTTATGAATACAAAAAAAAATCTGATGTACCCCCCACGGCTACCCCTTCAAAGAATTTCTTGTCCATCAGATGTAACTCAAGCCAGTTCTGATTCTGCACGGGCTTCACTGTAGTTGAGGAGACAGCGGGTTTCACCTCGGGGTGATAGCTTTCACTTGACTTTCTCTGCTTCAGAGCGTGGTGATGCTGGTGTTCCGGGAGGAGAAGACGCCAGAGGACGAGATCAAAGCCTGGCAGTTCTGGCATAGTCGACAACACTCTGTCAAGCAGAGAATTCTAGATGTTG